ATGGTGGCTGCGGAGTTGGCATGTTGATGTACGGCCTAACGCTGAGGCATGGTTGGGGTTGCGAGAAAAACGAGAAAACAGGGTTCAAGTGGTTGCAGAAGGCCGCAGAACATGCTGTGGAGGATTTGGAAAGCGCGAGAGGCGGTGGAGGTGTGGATCCGAAAGCTGTTCAGGTACGAGTCTTGTGACTAGCATTTCGACTGTTATGAACCTTGAAATCCGTAGTCTGAACTGGTTCTGGCAATCTATGAAGTCGGACAGTGTTTCTTCCACGGATGGGGTGTCGTGAAGGATCAGAAGATGGCTGTAGTGCGTTCATTTTACGTACTTCGATTGAATGTCTATAACTTACCGTTGAATGACAGAGCTATTACACCGTTGCTGCACGCCTTGGAGACTCGGATGCCCAACACGATCTTGCATTCTGTCTCGCCAATGGGAAAGGATGCAAGAAAGATCGTAAAGCGGCGGCAAAGTGGTATCGCGCAGCTGTACGCCTCCCATTGCTCTTTTGACTACCTTCTAATGTTTTTCCTCTTAGGTCGCGCAAGGACAAAGCGATATTGGGCTCGCCTGGATTTACAAGGAGAAGTACCAGTAGCATAATGCCACTACGATCATCTCAATGTTTAATTATAGTTCCACGCAATAATGTATACTTATACCCCTTCCCATGCATACTCTGTTATTTACTCTATAACCTCCCATACCCTATAGCTCAAGGTGGCTACAGAGGGGTATGGGTTAAGAGGGGTTCGAATTTTCTTGTGTGGTGAAGAGTAGTTGTACCTAACCTGCCACTGGTATTTTCCAATTCCCGTAAATCATAAATATCTTCTAATAGTTTCATGTCAGGCTCAAGGATAACTGTTATGGTGCCGCTGTGGAAATTATGATGTTTATTATATTTATTCTGGTATGGTAAAGCAAAGCTCATGAACCTTCTTCTCCAGCAAGCCACTCACGATTTGCGCTGGGAGATGTACCTATATTGGAGTGAATTACACAACGCAGTGCTACTTGCTACCTGAAGACACCTGAAAGCTGCTATCCCCGCTCGGTTATTTTTATCTATCATTTAGAAGCACGCTATGCTACCTTCCTATGCCTGTGTCGCGTGACGGATGCATGCTGGCGTATCAGCACAAATATCGTTCTCTTATAAATCTCACCTTTTCTCATGATAGATCGATTTCTCATCTTCAACGCCCATGTCGACACAGAAAACGGCCAAGCTCTTCGGAACATGGACCAGCCCAATTACCGCTGAATTTATAGCGGATCAAGTCAGTTCACCGTTATCTTGTCACACCACCCTAACTTTGTTCACTAATCTCTGCTACGGTGTCTAGGCTACAGTGATTGAAGATGTATTAGTCGACTCAGCTAACGGGACCGTTTATCACGTAGAAAAACGATCTTCAGAGCAGGGACGGAATTCCATCGTTCGTACCGATAACGCTCCTCGAGATTTGCTTCCCTCTCCATGGGATGTAAGGTACATATCATGTTAGCGATGTGACCGATGTTCCTATACTCATTGTTGACAGAACTGGAGTTCACACCTACGGGGGAACCGCAGCTGCTATCTTTAATGACACAGTTGTACTCTCCAATGGCAGGGACTCCAGGGTATACGCTCTAAAAGGCAATGCCGATGTTGTTGCTTGCACGCCTGGTAAAACTGAACAATTGAGCTAATATCAAAGGGGTGATAATTCACTAATCGCTGAATAGATAATAACCTCTGGCGCTATGGGGATTTCACCTTTTATCCTAAGAACCCAAACATTGTGCTCTCCATTCGCGAGGACCATACACGCCCGGAGCCTGCCAATGTCGTCAACACGCTTGTGTGCGTTCAGTTAGATGATCCCTCCAAAGTTAAGGTCGTTGCCAGTGGACAAGACTTCTACTCTAGTGCCTGTTTCTCGCCCGATGGCACGAGAGTTGCCTGGCTTCAGTGGAACCACCCAGAAGTACCCGCTCAATCCGCTGAACTTGTCGTCGCTGAAGTAACGAGTTCAAACGACTCCGCTTCAATCACGTTTACTAACTCCCGTATCATTGCTGGTGAACATGGCAAAACTGTCGCTCAGCAGCCCACCTGGATCTCCAATACACAGCTACTTTTCGTCTGCGATAAATCCGGATGGTTGAGCCCCTGGACGTACGACACCACTGACGAGAAAGGGGCAAGGCCTGCTCTCTCCAAGCTCATCGAAGAAGACTTCGGTGAGCCCGCGTGGTTCCTGGGGTCATCTAGCTATGCAGTGCTCGATACCGAGCGTTCGATATGGTCGAGCTTCCGAAATGGTATTTCCACTATCTGCATGCTGCATCTATCCTCGGGGATAGTTACAGACATACCGGTTGAGTATAAAGAAATACGTAGAATGCGAAGGATTGATGACAGTTCCGTCGTGTTCATCGCTAAGAGCAGCACACAGCCAGATTTCCTCGTTAAATTGACATTTTCCGGGGCGGAAAGCTCCCCTAACTTCACTATCCTCAAGGAATCGGCCCATCCAGTCTTGCAGACTCTAATCTCCGAATACTTCTCAATTGCACAACCTCTCGAGCTCCAGGATGCCAGCAAGCGGCCCATCTACACTCTATTCTATTTACCTACCAATCCTCAATTCATCGGGGTGGGGGCAGAGCTACCACCATGTATCGTAAATCTCCACGGTGGACCATCATCCCGTCAAGGTGCAGGATTTGAGTGGATGCATCAATATTTTACATCTAGGGGATGGGCGTGGTACGTTCTTGCTATGATCTCTGTGCCCATATTGGGTAACTGAATAGTTGGTAAGGCTGGATGTCAACTATGGTGGATCCACGGGGCATGGTCGTGCATATATGTGAGCGTTATTCATCTCAGGATCCACAAAATATACTAAGTTTCTGTCATCAGGGAGCGTATGTACGGCCAATGGGGGGAGATCGATATTAAAGACACTGTTTCTGCCGTGAAAGAAATACAACGTCGCGGACTTGTCGACCCTCGTCGCGTTGTCATTCGTGGAAACTCTGCAGGTCAGTAGTTGCGTGTAACGTTTGTCATTTGGGATCACTCATAGGGCTGATAATATAGGAGGGTACAGCACTCTGCGGTCCTTATGTGCGTATCCTGACTTCTATCAAGGTGGGATATCGTGTTATGGGGTTAGCGATGTCAAGCGACTCGTAGAGTCGACGCATAAAGTGGCTTTCTCATCTCCTGCTAATTAGACGTGCTACACTTACACCATTACAGTTCCAAATGTGCTACATCTTCAAGCTACAAGGCGGAACCCCTGAGGAAATCCCAGATGTCTACAAAGCACGATCACCCGTTTATACCGCGGGTCAAATAAAAGCTCCATTACTCGTAAATATATTTCTTGTCGTCTCCCACCATACAACTGTTAATTATCATTTAAACTCTTACCAGATCCTCCAAGGTGACACAGACTTCGCCGTTCCCGCATCCCAAGCGGAACTTATCGTCGATACCATTAAAGCGCAAGGTGGGAAGGTCGACTACGTCTTGTTCGAGGGCGAAGGACATGGGTGGACCAAGTCAAGCACGATTCAAGTTGCATTAGAGAAACAGATGGCATTTGCTATGGATGTGATAGGCATATAATACAGTGGACCGCTGGGAGTCTCAATAGTTTCCAACTGTCATCATGAATTGAATCTGAACTCTTGTTTACTAATGTCTGCTACTACTCAGAAATCCCAATATACAGCACATATTCCCGATATGGTAATCAACACAGCTGCCCCTCACGAACTATAATCGCCGAACTTCCACATCCTCAGAGATCCCGAAAGCCTGTGTACCACCCTTAGTTATCTAACACGTCTATTATGCAATGCATCCAACGACCTCCCTTGTAAACGACGACATCTATTGGAATGGACTAACGCATAATATACAGTACAGCTCAACGGAAACCGATGAGTGATTAGTATGCGGGATGTGCGGATGCGTATTGGTGTCTGAAACAGGTTCTGGTTGCGCATAAATCGATAAAGATCGGCGAGTTGGGAGGGAGTCACATATGAGAGTAACTATGTAAGCTTGAGTTTGTATTCCTAGTATCATTATATTGGCCCCATTTTCGTTGGTTTAGGTCTCAGAATAACAAAATTAGACGCTTGTTTGTACAGGCATGGTCTGGAGTACTAACGACTTGAGCATCGGTACTTGAAGCCATACTAAGTTCTAGTAGGGCCGAAGGGAGACGCAGACGAATTACCCAACGACCTTCTTGGCAACTCTTTCAAGGCGAGAGCGTGGGGAGGGGGGCGAAATTTCAATCTCAGCAACTGAGAGTTACAGACAAGCAGACTTGTGTTCAGTCATAGACGCTTGATAATCGTTAAGCACCATAATAACGGGTGTATCTTTTCCGCTCGAAGTTGCTCAACTCCAATCAACTGGTATAGCTGTCAATTTGCATTGTACACCCTCATACCTCCGCAAAAGGCAATAACATCCACTAATTCGATTTCCCCTTTGACCGGAGCCTACGTCTCCGAACATCTAAGACATTTCATGAACGCCCTAAATGCGAAACGACAGCACTTATTCCGTATATGGCAATCGTCGCATCACTTGGCTCAAAATAATCGTAACATCTTTCAGCATTATTCACACAATGATACCGATACAAAGCAGCATGATGCAGCTGGAAGTGCACAGTTTTGTTGCATGTGAATACATTGATACCTTGAGGCCACTTGATCTAAACAGCTGGTACTATGACTACCGAACTCAGACTCAAGAGCTCTAACTCTGTGGTGCATCTATTTTTGGAATGACTCCTTAACATTGTCAGCACCATATAATTGCACGGCATTCGGATGATATTATCCCCTCTCGACTCGAACAGAAGAAGATGAATATATTCGAATCTCTCACCTAGATGAATATAATCATTGCAAGACTCGCAACCACAATATACGAACCCGCGACGGCAAAACGTTGGCACATCCCATTCAAATGCCCTCTGTCAGGATCGAACTGACGACCTCAGGATTAAATGAGCCCACTCAAATGCTCACGCACAGCTGTAGGAAGCTATGAGACCTGCGCTCTAACCAGCTGAGCCAAGAAGGCATTGAATTGGGTTGTGGAGTCAGTCGCGACTGACTGAGTATTTCCACGTCGAGCTGGACAGGCCGTAAATTAAAACATACACCAAAAGGGAATATCATAATGGAATGTCGTGCCGACGGATGGAAGAAAGGTACGAGGAATGGACAAGAAGTATGGCGGAGCATTCTGACTGCCAACAGTTACGAGAATCAGATTATTAAAACCGAGATGTTGGAGTCGATAGCGTCGAAATATCACTCGGAATAGCTCCATGGACATGTAATTTTGATTGAACGGCGATAGTTCGTGCTTGAGGAGGTGTAGCATGCGAAGAAGGATCGGAGACAAGTTAAATTTGATATTGGACGTTACGGATATAGCACGTGGTAAATAGAGAGCGTCATGAAGGTGCTAGCGAAAGCGTGTGAGAGGCGCTGCGAGTGCTGCTTCTGGATTAAAGCCAAAAGGCTAACGGGACGCGTCACCAACAGCGTCAATAGGCGGCGTTGGGTGTTGAAGGAGTGTTAATGATTAGACTTGGAACGGTGAACACAAGTGGGTCCAAGCAGATAGTCAGGTTACAAGCCATGCTCTCATCGTTGTTGAGCGTCGGTGGAAGGGAAAGAGATTCCGGGTTATGAAATCGACTGGGTTGGTAATTGGTGGGGGCTCCTTTGGTGACGTCACTAGATAGACGGCCCGTCGATAGGATCCCCATCCTTCCTAAAGCGGTAAGTATGAAGACCACGTCCATGATTTGTTTTTCAACTTTCTGTGTAGCGTGTAGCTTTGTTTCGTGTCCTCAGCTATACACGCGAGCTGTTGTCACGACTCTCTTCTCATCGTCGTCCTCGCTATGGGCCGCAGACAGCGCCAACGCCTCAACCGTAAAGGCACCTTCGACCCCACCGATGCCTCCACCGTCAAGCACTCCCATATCGGCGTATGGGACCTCTACGAAGACATCCAGCCAGAGTTCGCCCGCGTCCCCGGCGCATCCCGCTTCGAGTCCCTCTTTGAAATGGCCAATGCACTCCCCTACGTATGGCGTATGATGAAGGATATTGGCAGCATACGCGCTTGTTGGTTCCTCCTCTCTATCTACCTCGCAATAGAATTTGTCGCTTCCCTCCTCCCTGCCGTCGCTCTCTGGTGTGTTCCGCGTCATTCACTCTTGCTCGAACAAGTAATTCACCCCCTATCCCATCCAGGTACTCAGGCCAGCTACTCAAAATCGTGAGTCGGCGCACTCAATCCTAACTGGAACCGTCCCTCAACTCACCCCCCGCCACCAAAGGTCCAAACCGCTGTCGACGAACGTACAGTCGACACCCACCTCCTCTTCAAAGTCGCCTTTGGCCGCTTCGTATGCTCTCTCATCACCCGCCTCCTGCGCTACTCCAAGCAACGCCTCGCAGTCCCGCTAAATGTCCGCATCAAGCAGTACTACTCTGTCCACATCTTCCACGCCATGGCTCGCTTGGACGTGCCCACCTTTGACGATGCAGCCGTACAGCGTCAGCTCGAGCAGAGCTTCCCACCAAACTCCCGCTCCAGCATCGCTTGGGACACCGTCGTGATGGCCTTGCATATGCTCTCGACCGCGCTGCAGCTTACCTCCCAGCTAAGTGTTTTGGTTGGTGTCCTGAGAGACCAGAGGGACGGACCGTTATTGGCTGTTTTAAGCTTTGCACATGCGCTGTTCCAGTGGAGTACCGTGCGCAAGGCGTTCATTAGCGCAGGAGGTACGTAGTGCAGCCCCTCTGCGTTTCTCTTTTACACCTAACACCCCTCATAGTATGGGCAGCAACCACCAAAGACCCGGACTACATCCGCAATGAAGGCCTCAAGCGCGCCATTGCTGAACCTTCACATCGCAAAGAGATTGTGGCAGGAGGAATGTGGCCGTATCTCTTGTCGCGTAAGTACATCTCCTGCTCTTACACTCTTACTTTATTGACCGGGATGCAGAGTATCAACACGGCGTAAACATCATCGCCGACCGTGCAGGCGACTTTTTTGAAGCCGCGTCCGCCCATCGTACGCGTGACCGGCTAAGCTTCTCGAGCATGCTCCAAGACCCATTCAAAGAGCTTCCTCAGGTACATCGTGCTCACAGTTAGCATTTATGTACCTTACTTAGCTCTCCTATCTTTCTCGCAGATCGTATTCACCCTCCGCGCCGTCCAATACCCCGCCGCCATCCCGCTCTCCCTCGCCTCCCTTAATCTCATAACCCAAACCACCCAATCCTTCACGTACATCCTCTTCAACCTCTTCGACGAAACAGGCTCCATCGCCGATAAGCTCGCCTCCGTGCGCAAGCTCTACGAGGTTGGCAACATCCCTAACCGCATTGTCGACGGTAATATACCCTTCCCGGAGGATACTGCCTCCATAGAACAAGGGCTGAGCATCGAGTTCCGGAATGTATCATTCTCTTACCCCGGCTCTACTCCCGATGAGTGGGCATTAAGGAATGTCTCATTCAAGATCGAAAAAGGCCAGCTATGCGTGATAGTAGGTGCTAACGGCTCCGGGAAGAGTACCATCCTCAAACTTGTCGCAAGGCTATACGATCCCTCGGAAGGAACCATCCTCATCAACGGGCTTGATATCCAGACACTCAGGCTTGCAGACCTCCGTAGGGCAACGAGCGTTCTCTTTCAAGACTACACCCACTTCCCCTTATCCATCCGGGATAACATCGCACTTGGCGCGCCGGACCCAAAACCGAGCATGGATGATGTGCATGAGGCCGCGAGACTGGGTGGTGCAGAGGAGTTGGTGCAGCGTCTTCCTGATGGGTTTGATACGTACCTCGAGAGACCAGTACGGGATTATTACTCCGGCCTACCGGAGGGGACGACCACGCTGTTTGGGAGACCAGTGGACTATTCGCGGGTGAGAGGGATGGGCGGGATGGATGCAAATGGGGGGAGGGAAATGAGTGGGGGGCAGATGCAGAGGATTGCACTGTGAGTACTGAATGGAACTGGACGATTGAAGAATGAGGTGCTAATTGGACTTTGATAGTTCACGGACGTTCATGCGATCGGTCGTATCAGAAACGAGTGTCGGGCTTCTTCTATTTGACGAGCCTTCTGCAAGCCTCGATCCCACAGCCGAGCATGGTGCGCCTCTTCCTCCCTTCTCCTCCCCTACTGCACTTCCTCTAACACTCATATTCTCTCCCCACAGACCTCTTCAACCGTCTCCGCCAACTCCGCGGTAGTAAAACCATGGTCTTCTCCTCTCACCGTTTCGGCAACCTCACACGACATGCCGACCTCATCCTGTACATGAACGACTCGGTCATCGTCGAAGAGGGAACACACGACCAGCTACTCAGACGAGATGGCGAGTATGCACGTATATGGAAGTTACAGGCACAGGCATTTTTATGACCTTGGATTTTAGAGTTTGTTTTTCATTCACTTTCTTTCTTATCTCTTGTACCTTTCTCTTATATCCATTACATTTCATCTCTGCTTTTTTTTCATTCTACTACTACCACTACGCTTGCCTAGCTGTGTCAAGCAGGATTTTTTTGAGAATCAATTTCAAATTTCAAATCGACGCTGGATGTGACCAATTGATGGTGTAGGGACAGGGACGTCCTAGTCCCTCGTTCGACGTTCCCAAATGACGACGAGGTGGTGATGGCAGTGGTGGTGGTGGATAGATCCTCGGTGACGATGAGGCACATAGCCTCTAGGAAGCAAAATGCGAGCCCACATCTTCTTGAAGGGGACGGGCACGTGGTATCGGAGGAGAGGAGGAAGGATGGAGGAAGCCTGGAGGAGAGCTTCCATAATAGGTCTCACAATTCTCAGCTTCCGGTGTAAAATCTCGCCCAATGATGTCGTGATGGGACGAGTTTTTACACTGGAAAGTGGGGGTTTTCGTTTGAGCTGGACCTCACCTATTATTAGAATTTCAATTAAATATGATATTGTGGACTCGCATTTATAGCTTGTAGTTAGTGGTCCCTCCGTTGAACTTAAGGTAAGTATTATCAGTTTGTTTAAGAAAGTCAGCTCAAATCTTCGGATAATTTATTTAATCACACATCTAGCTGCTGCAATATACTGTCCAATTACGACCAACTCATCAGCTGTTGTCACGCGTGACGCAAAACCTATGGCTGATCATCTCTTCATGATGCCAAAAATCCTGAGACAAACCGCAAAATCTCTTCACAACCTCATTCTTCACGACCTCATCTCATCATGACACATCCTCCTTGGCAAACTAATTAAATATATTTCCATTTTAGGAAATTTTGAAATTTTGTCACCCTCTTCAAAATTCAATGTGATGCGTGACAATAGGTGTATCTTTTCTCTTCACAGAGCTTTGTGACGCGTGACTGAAGAGTTGATCGTAATTGAACAGTAATGGGGATGCCAGACTACCTAGTCCTGGTAGGCTGGTATTGGTACACATGGCCAAACAATTGTGATTCGCCGCTGGGGGTTGAAATAGGACATTTCACAAGCTCAGCTAAGGTATAAATAATACAAGGCATGCTTCAAGGGCAACATAGAAATATCATATCAAATAGTGCTTCGACAGAATCTCATCAACGTCAATATCACTTTCACCCCCTCCCATATATCCCATCAGAAGACGGGGCCACGGCAAAAAGCAAAAGTAAGACTTGAGGGGCCAATTCAACCTGCATCTGAGATATGCTGAGTCTCTCGTTCCAACGAGTACGGCAGAAATAGCAAATAAAGTGATAGACTACTTAGCAGTGTAGCTGTCAATGAAGGTGGAAATATCTTCGCGTCCGTAGGGAAGTGACAAATTTGTGATGGTCAAGGTCAAGGCATAAGACATCCGTCACATTTGCCGATCTTATCTTATTTACTCATATATACTCATAGTTACCATGTAGTACCTTGTCGAATCAACGCGCGCATCCTTGTTTCTTGCGCCCAACTCGTGCTCGCGGCACCAAAGTCCTCAATTCCTGACCCAGCCCGTAACAAAATTAAGCAGCTATTTTCATAACG